GGGCGGGGGGGAAGGGGGGCTGGCCGGTATGGGGTTGGGGATAGTGGGGCGGGCCAGGAGGAGGTCGGAGGGGAGTGGTGGGAGGGGGGGAACTGGCCAGCAGGGAGTGGGGCTGGCCCGGGTGCATGCAGATCCCAGGGCATTGCCCATCCCACACACAGTCCCGGAGGGGTGCACAGGCGAGTCCGGCCCCGGGGATTCCATCCTGGCCTGGCCCCGCCTCCCTCCTCTCTACTGTATAGTTGCATATTGCCTGGCTAGTAGACACGCTCACACTGTGTGAGCATGTCTACCAGCCAGGCAGTACGCAACTATATACTGATACTCACGATAATAATAAAACTTAATTAGAAAATACCAGACATTTATATGTCCGGTATTTTCTCAATTTGTTTCCGGGACAGAAAGCTCAAATACCAGATTGTCCAGTTCAAAACCGAACACCTGGCAACCCGATCAATACTACCTCACACCTAGTGACACTCCATCCAGGGCCTTCTCTGGGGAAAGTAAAAAAAGGATAAATCTGAGGGCATGATCCCAGATTATAAAATCTCTCTCAGAGCATTTCCTGGGGAATCCTCATGTGCTACTATGGGAAAAGGGAAGAGTACTTACACATGTAGCTGCAAAGGAACCATGCTGCCAGGAAATGAGGAGGAGGTTTCCAAGGATTGGAAATAGTGCCGAGACACGCTGATAGCCCATGCCCCCTTCTGATCCACAGATATCTACCAGGCTTGTGGTTGAGCCCCACAGTGTTTATCATGTGGAAAACCCCATCCCATGATGCTGTGTGGAAATCTTACCAGAGGGTTTCATGCACAGACTCCTCCTAAAGCTTTTATATAGGGGAATTATTTGGCTCCAAATAATTAGATTATAATCTCAGCAAACTGTTCTTAAAGAACATTACATTACAAAACTCTATTCAAGATTGTCAGGGGAATATTAAGTGGTCTACAGCACACAGCATAGGAAACAAATTTCTTTTTGAATGACTGCATTAAGAACTAAATAGTTCTATGAAGTATCCTAAATTCATGAAGTTATCTAAATATAAATATGTTTATTAAATAATTTCATATTATAGTCCAAACAATAGTGAAAGATCTGAAATCCATGCTAGATTCTACATTTTAAAGATTGTAGATTCCATGTCCCTTCTTGGAAGTTTAAGTGGAGGAATTTTTGGTAAAATCTCTCTAGCATAAAGGGTTTTATGAAGTCCAACTTCTCGAAGAGCTAGCTCAACACGAACTCTAGGATCAGAAATGATCTGTTAAAAATAAAATATCATAATGGTGAACACAACCAAAATATCAGTAGTAATATTTTCTCAAAAATATAGTATATATTTGGTGTGTCTGTATATTACATAAAAACCTATGTTAAAAGAACATCACAGTGGAAAATCAAGGACTCAAAAGTTAGGAAATGACAAAACTATTTTATCATTCAATCTTATTTCATTCCATTTGTATGAACAATCTTTAACTTCATGAGGATACATTTTTCCATAGGACCCCTGCTTCATGAGTTACTCAATATTGGTTTTTATTCTCTACATTTGAAGTGTGACAGCAGGATTTATTTAATGCACATCATATGAACCCTGCACTGCAGACAGATATACTAATTTCTTTCTGGGCATTTCTATGGTGTTCTCATCTTAGTTATAAGTGTTTCACAAATATTAATTAACCTTCACAACTCCTTTGTGAGAACAGGTAGTAGTATTATCCCCAAATTCTACAACAAATGAGGCAAGAGTTCTATAGACAATAGCCTCCTTCACTTCACAACCCTGATTTATTCTCTGTGCACCACAGATTGTGAGCCCTGAATGAGGCCAGGATCCTATGGAAACTTTGAGTGATCATGTAATTAAAAACTGTATCATAATGCATACGCAAAAGGAAACCCTCAGTTCTGGCATTTCGTAATTTGTCAGTGTTTGACTTTGTAACCAAAACTTATTTCAAAATATTTTACTATAACTGCTTAATTAAAAAACAAAACAGAGATTCTATCACATGGAATCATTTAACTCCCAGCTTGGGCCATTAGCAGGATTCAGATGAGATAATAAAATCCAGAGGACAGACATCCTCTTGAACTAATGCGGTAGAAGGTAGCAGTAGGAGCCTGTTCACCTATGGAGACAGGTCTTGAGGGAAGGAAGAGATACTCAATTAGATAGTGGGTTTCAAAGCTTTTTGTTGACAGCAAAGGAATGTGGATATGAAGGGCACCTGGGCTAAATTCCAGGTGCCAATCCATACCCACCAGCTTCTACTCCCTCCCTGCTCCTTATGCATTCGTATCCCCTGGCTCTTGCAACCCTCCCATATTTCTTCATATCCCAGAAGAGATATTCCGAAAACACTTCTTCCAAAAAAGAGCGTCCACACTGCCAAAGCATATCGAAAAAGTGATCTACTTTTTCGAAAGATAGCATCCATTTAGTGTGGACACTATCTCATATTTAAGATGTGTTTACTATGGACAAAGTGGCCACCAGGGCACCTGTGCTTTTTCCTCTTTCCTCTTCTTTTGAAAGAACTCTCTCTTCCCTGTCCACACATGCTTTTTTCCAAAAGAGTTCTTTCGGAAAAAGGCTTCTTCCTTGTAGAAAGAGATTTACCAATGTTAGAAAAACCCCTCTGTTCTTTAGATTTTTTTTCTAAAGAACACAATTGCAGTGTGGATGTAAGTCAAGTTTTTCGGAAAAACAGTCGTTTTTCCAAAAAAAAACCTCTACAGTCTAGACATAGCCAGAATGTCCTCAGCAATCTGGTACAAACTGAGAGAAAGAGTATCATTATTTCACTTTAATATTTTCCCTTTACACTGGACACCTGTATTCCTCTTCTATACATCCTATGGCAACTGATTCTTCATTTACTATTACAGGCAGTCCCCGGGTTACGTACAAGATAGGGACTGTAGGTTTGTTCTTAAGTTGAATTTGTATGTAAGTCGGAACTGGTACATATTGTAGGGGAAACTCTAGCCAAATATTTCTCCAGAGCTCAGTTTTATTCTCCCACACCTCACTTCCCTCAGTCCTTTATTCTCAAGCTGTGGTGTCTGCTGAGACAAGCCGCTCCGCGTCTCCCTGGTCTACTGGGGGAAGCAACTAGTGCGGGGTTGCCTCACCCCGTTTGTAAGTAGGGATCCGATGTAAGTCGGATCCATGTAACCTGGGGACTGCCTGTACTTCACAGCAAGCCAGATAATGATTTTTAGCTTATGAAGAGTTTGTATGGTAGAGGACCCATCCCAGACAATTAATTAATTTGCCATTTCATTGAAAAACATCTACTACATAAAATTTTATATCTACCAACTAAACACTGACTCTCTCTTGGTGTAATTTTCAATAAGGGCAGAAGTTTGCCTTAAGCATTTAACAGAATAATATTCAGAGCAAGGCTAAGCAGAACAGCAACCCCTTAGACTTTAGAGAAATGCATGATACATGACAAAGGGTGTACTTTTTAAGCATTTAACAAAATAACATTCATAGCAAGGCTAAGCAGAACAGCAACCCCTTAGACTTTAGAGAAATGCATGATACATGATAAAGGGTGTACTTTTAATTTTAAAAATATTGACTAGCTATCTCAAATACATTTCTCTATAGTGTTTTTGGTTTCACACATGACAATAACTTTCTATTATTACTCTTTCTGTGAATGGAATTCATTTGCACACAAACTATACAAGATAGGCAATTACCTGTTGTTCACTGTATGTATTCAATGTAAACAGTGGTCTATGAAGAACAAATTCTTCTTCACTTCCAATGCCTACTTTAGCTTTAGATGCCACTGTATCAGCCATCATTCTAGCTGGATCAATTTCTGCAACAATAGCAACCTAAATAACATTACATGAAAATATTAATTAGTGAAACAGTTGATATTGACTGGAATGAAGTTGGAGTGAAGTGGACTGGAGTTGAGAAATGTGCCTTATAATAATTATCATCTTTATATTTTTTGTGAACTACTCTGAAAAGGAAAGTAACCTTTGTGGCCCTAAATGACTGGCCTCTAGGCTATAAAAATGATGTGTGATGTCATCTGTTATCAGCACCTTCCACTGAAAACCAGTTTACCTGGTTAACTGATTAATCAGGATTTTACATTCCTACTCTCAGAACAGGCAACAGGTAATATTTCAAATCAAAAGAGCAATCCTGCAGAAAGATATGTGTAGATATTCAGAAACAGTAGCTTTGCTTTACATCCTCAGTGGGAACAGTACTGGCTGAAGCTTTGGGTAATGATTAAGATGATTCATTGAAACACCACAGAAATTCAAATGAGATATATAAGTCAGACAGCCGTCTGCCACGAGTCCTGAATATGGTGCGATCAGTCTTGTAAGTATTAAGTTCAAGTCAAAAGATGGAACAGCTTTTTAGACTGACAGAAATATACAAGGAATATCCCTTCAAGAACCATCATAAAATGACTTCAGGCAGAACACAACAGAAGAATCTTGTTGAGCAAAAATAGCTGCTAAGGGATAATGGCATATAGATCCCCTGACTTTTCTGAAATGAATTGACTAGTTCTAAATGTCAACACAGGCACTCACAAAAGAAATAACCTATTGACTATAGCTTATGCAGAGATCATTATCCACTTCAACGAACAGCCATCTCCCATAGATTCCTTCTCACATTGAAGTAGTTTTTCTGCACTTCTTTATAGCACTGAACATCTGTTCTCAGCAATGTAACACAATCCAGGCCACTATGTGATGTAACTAAAGATCTGGGCAACAAATCAATCTTGTTTTTAGGACAGTCTCCTCAGATCAAAACTGCTTCTCCATAGAGACCTCTCTTTGGACCCATGATAGTTCTTCAGGCATGTGGAAGACAGTGCCACCATATGGTGTTGTGAAGACTCATTGAGGGCAGTCAAGAGAAGAGCTGGCATCCCAATAATACTTTAATATTTATTCTAAATAAAATACAAGTAAAATTAAAAAGTGCCCATTCACAAAATATGCATGTTCTACCAATTGTTTAAAATGACAAAAAATAAATAGCAGCACAAACATGCACATGCATCCATACCTCAGTCACCTAACATCAAAGAGTCAAATGGTAGGGAAAACAAATGGACCATGCAGCATGCCCGGAAAATCAGCAAATCTATGCTGTTTCAAATAAGGGATGAAAGAGCATAGTAGAGCTCTAAGGCCTGTTCGCAGGGCCGGCTCTAGGTACCACAAGTCAGGCAGGCGCTTGGGGTGGCACTTTGCCAGGGGCAGCATTTCAGGTAAGCAGCTGGCTCTGCCCCCAGCAACGCCTCGCCCCGCCCCACCAATTTTAAAGGGCCGTGGCCCGGGAAACACTGAGGCTGCGCAGCTAGCTGGCACCAATGCACACCCAGAGCCTGCTGGTTGGCCCTGGCACCATGTGCACCTGGCTCCGGAGCCTGCTGGCTGGCCCTGTCTCCTGAGTCCTGCTCCTCCCCGGCACCCGCCACTTCTTCCAAGAGCCTCTCCACTCCAAGTGGAGGCTCCGCTCTGCCAGACCCGCAGCCTGGACCCAGCCATCAGTCACCCCTCCGCCTACATCATTTGGAAATCCCAGGTAGGACGCCCCCTTCCCGCCTAGGGTTGCCAGGTGTCCAGTATTTAGGGTTGCCAGGTGTCCAGTATTCACCCGGACAGTCCGGCATTTTCGCCTCCTGTCCAATAAAAAAAATTCAGAGAATTCCGGACACCTGAGATGTCCGGTATTTTCTGATTTTTTTCCTTGGCCAGGAGGCGAAAATGCCGGGCACTTGGCAACCTTACAAACACTTAGCATCTGGCCTCCTCTGCCCCCCCTCCCCAGCTCCCCTGACACCTCCAGCCCCTTGACCCCACCCCCCATGCTTAACTGGTTCCACAAGGCTGCTGGCACAAAATGGCTGCCAGCCAAAAGACCAATTACTTTGGTCTCCCTCCCCCCTTTTTTTTTCCTTCAACAGAATTTTTTCCCGATGGTAGACTCAGGGGAAGCAATGCTTCCCCTGGGTCTTAGTGCTCAACTTCTCCCCTTTTCCTATCCCTGCACTCACTCTTAAAGGGGATATGATGTTTTATTTTAATTTTTTTTTGGCTTAAGTCTTGGAGCCTTTTTTTTCCCCACTCAACAACTTTGTTCTCTCCCCTCCCCTTTTTTTTCCCCTTCAACAGAATTTTTTCCTGGTGGGTTTTTTTTGGGGGGGTGGGGGGCAGCCAGGACAAAAATGTTTTGCTTGGGGCAGCAAAAAACCTAGAGCTGGCCCTGCCCATATGGAGGAGGTCCTGACAAGTCTATTGGGGGAGACCTAGCATCAGCCTGCTGATGACAACTGTGGGAGAGTATCAAACCAGGAAAGTGAGAGTCTCCCAAGTAAGCATGTCCTAGACCATTTAGGGCATTTTAAAACCTAAACCTTAAAAGTTGTCTGTAAGCTCAAAGGTAACCTCCCGTTGTTTCAGGGTCTATTAATTATGACTTGATTTCCAGAAGATGCCTGGTCACTGCTAAGTCTTTGTAAGCTCCAGGAATTTCATCTGTTTCAGGTTTCTATTGATGATAATGCCCTCCACATCACTGGAGACTTGGGGGCCTTCTTCCAGCAAGGAGGTCATAGGTCATCAAGGTTTCTTTGGAACCAACAGAATTTTCAAAGCATTCAGCTGTCAGGACTGTTGTTGGTTGTGAGGTCCCCTCAATTCATTTTTCCTCAGCATAGTCATAGTTGGTAAGCAGGCTATCACATAGATAGCACATGACATCTGTGCTTCAGAATTTTCATTGGCTATCTTTGACCTTACAGACACATTTTAATGTTTAGGTTTTGGCTCGGGCACTGCCGTAGGCTCCCTGTCTCTCAGTGCAGAGCATGCACTAGGTTTGGGTTTATATTTATAGGGAATTCCGCTATGGTCATTCTGGCTTGCATTACAAACCATAGACTACGTTGGGGAAGCTGCTGTAACACTAAGGCTAAGTTACACTGGGCACTATTTTGGAAAGAAGTTCACAATTGGAAAGAAACAAGGTGTGGTTTAAATAACCTTTTCTGTGTTCCCCACCCACAGTCTGGTTGCACATTTTTTGCTGCACCTTCAGGAGAATCTCAAATACTGGATTTCCCTTTTATTGCTTCACAATAAAAAACAACTCAGGTAAATTAATTTAAAACAATTGAAACAATTGAGTATAACATAAATTTTTCAAAGATGTATGTTCAAAGGTTAGGAAAATAAAAATAAAAAAATATCACAGTTAGGGTTGCCAGATGGTTTAATCAAAAATACTGAACACCCTCCGCCCCACACCCCCCCCAAAAAAACATTGGGGAATAAATTCTGTTAAGAAAAAAAGGGGCAGACCAAAGTTGTTGAGCAAAAACAAAAACAAAAAAAGGACCCCGAGAGTTGTTAAGCAAACAAACAAACAAACAAACAAAAACAGCGTGGACCCTTTAAGAAATGCATTTGAGACTTTTTGGCCCTAACAGGCTTGCATCTTGCATCCCTGGGCCGGGCCGAACAGCTCCCCTGCGGAACCTGGTAAGCACCCAGGATTTTCGCCTGCTGGCTGGGAAAAAAAAAAAATCTGAAAATACCGGACATTTCAGGTGTCCGGTATTTTCTGAATTTTTTTCCCCAGGCAGGAAGCAAAAATACCGCACTGTCCGGTTCAATACCGGACACCTGGCAACCCTAGTCATAGTAAATTTAACCTGGCAACTTTGCATAAGTGTTGTCTGGAATACAGTGTTTTCATGAAGTGCACAAATTTCATAGAGTTAAATTCAGCCCTGTGAGGTGAGCCAACCCAGGGCCTATGAACCACTTTCTCTCACTTTCAGGGATTCAGTGGTTCATTATAAGCCTTGTGCTAGTCCCCTACACTGGATTGAAATTAAAAGGAACAGCAACAGAAAAAAAAGAGAGAAAAGGATCCCAATTTCAGAGAAATTAATGAATATTTACTTCCAAATGTCAACAGATTCCATTGTGTCATTTCGTATGTTAATTCTCATGTTGCCTAAAGAATAAAACACAAAGGCTATGTCTAGAGGACATCCCACTTTCGAAAGAGGGATGTAAATTAGACATATCGAAAAAACAAATGAAGCCAGGATTTGAATTTTCTGTGCTTCATTTGCATAATAATGTCACGGCTTTTTTTGAAAAATGCTATTTCAAAAGTGAAACCACAGTCTAGATGTGGTTCTTTCAAAAAGAATAATCTTTTTCGAAAAATCCTGTACCCCTCAGAAAATGAGGTTTACAGATCTTTCGAAAAAGGCTTTTCTTTTACAAAGGACCATGTCTAGACTGTGGTTTCACTTTCAAAATAGCATTTCTCAAAAAAAGTTGTGACGTGATTATGCAAATGAAGCATGGGAAATTCAAATCCCGGCTTCATTTGCAATGTTGATATGTTTAATTTACATCCCTCTTTCAAAAGAGGGATGTAGTCTAGACATAGCCAAAGGGTATTATTATGTGGCAGAAGTAATGTCATTCCTGCATTGCTGACTGACTGTTTTTGTAATATATTACATTCATTTAATTTTAGTATAGCATATGTATGTAGCTTAATTGTATATGAAAATATTATGTACTGGAAACAAAATCACCTGTTGTCTGAGGGCTTCAAGACGTCTCTCTCTTTCTTCTTCCTCATGGGCTTCTTGAAGGGCCAGTTCTTTTCTCTCCATCAGGCGTTTTTCCAACAGTTCTTGTCTAAACTTAACCCTGTACAATAGAGCATATATCAATGATAAAACATTATATCAAACTGTAGTTTCAATGTTTCTGTTTGAAAACCAGAGCGAAATTCTTTATATCTGTCTCAATAATAGCATAAGTTTCCTCACCTGAAACTCTTATACTAACTTATTTACCTGTTTTATTCAGAGTTTGAAAAAAATCATAATTATCCATGAATATTCTCACAAGTTAACTAATTATTGGAACACATTTATGGAGCCCAATTTTTCTCCAATATTTTCTAATATTTATTATTATTTTTCTTCCATTTTCTTCACCGATAGCCTTAAAAGAAATAAGCTTTGACATCCATAGATGCCAGCAAAACAGGACTCTCCCTATCCTTCCAATCAATAAACATCCATTATGTCCTCTAATTTGCTACTTACAGAAGTAAACAAAACTACTACATTGTATTGCATTAAAACAGCAGAAACCCACTTTTTCTTTCTGCATAAGGTAGCCTCTACCCTCCCCTACATTCATGGGACAAACAGATAGGATATGCAGAAGGAAGCACTGCTTGAAGTGAAAAAAAATTGGGGGAAGATTTGTATGAAAGCAAATGTTCAAAAAGCTAATGATTCAAAGATTATGCTACTATTCTTAGAAAAGAAAAACTTTATCAAACTCAGAGGAGAGCATAACTTGTAGTGTAACTTGAAAGGATTGTGAACACGCAGCCAGTTAACTAGGCAGTTACAAACGGTTCAAGAAAACGGTACAATATTACTCAACGATGCACAAGATACCCTCTATATTTGTTCTTATTCCTGTATTTTAAATAGGTTTAAACTCACAGGTTTTGGCAACATTTGTGTGTCAGGGTGAAAGCCTAATCTGCTTCTTGCATGAAGTGAGATGACAAGAAAATTTCTTATTAAAAATTAAGAAATTTAGTTTTTTATTAAAAATGGCAAATAATAAAATGAGTATTTTACTAATATATGCTGCTTTAACTCTTCACATTACTAAATTGTTCTTAAAATAGTCCAGTGCAATTAAAAATTAACTGGAAGTTACTATGTCCTAAAAACCCAAAAACTTGACATGTATCAAGACCTGCTTTTTAAGTGACTTGCCCTTACTGCAGTCATTTACATATGTATAAAAATAATGTGAAACACTATCACATCAGAATGGTAGATTCTTACATGAATTTTGCATTCACTTTCCCCAGGTGTAAATTACTGTGTAATGCAGGGGTGTCCAAACTTTTTTCAAAGAGGGCCAGATTTGATGAAGTGAACATGCGTGAGGGCCGACCATTTTGCCTGACATTCTTTGAACCATTAAAATTAAATGCAAATTAACTATTTTATGCAAAGTTTATTGCAAACGGCAAACGACATAACACCAACTATACATGTTGTGTCCAAATATATTTATAACTGATTTAGACCAACTGACATTAACTGAGATTTTACAATGTAGTCATCTCAATTGAAAAAAAAACTTGCCTAAACTAATGTGAAGGGTGAAACTGAGATCTGGACTGCAGTACATAGGCTAGGTCTGGTTCAAAGGCAGTGGTTTTGATGCGCAAAATATCACGCAGGTGAGAGTCATTTAGTCTTGTCCTCACGCGGTTCTTGTTAAAGTTCATAGCAGAGAATGTCTTCTCACACATATATGTTGAGCCAAACAAGCTCAGCATTTTCTTAGCCAATGTTCGAATCTCTTGAAACCGGCTCTTATCCAGTTGGCGGTAAAAGTTCACAAGAGAGAGCTGTTGGTGAATGTATTCATCTCAATACATATGGATTCGTTGGGGGCCATAAAAGATAGATATTGCCAAATTACCTGTGGGGCCATATTAAACTGGAACACGGGCCGCAATTGGCCCGCGGGCCGGACTTTGGACATGCCTGGTGTAATGTATAAAGCAGTAGAGAATCGAGCCCAAGGTTTCTGACCAAGCAAGTGCTGAAAGTGTTGAGGAAGTGGCACTTTTAGCTCATGAGAAGAGAGAGGAAAGAAGATCATCATGTTATTCATGGCATCCTGTCAGGAGTTGCATTCACAAATACCCTTCTTTAGTTCCTTGGTCAGAGGATAAGAGTGGAGATATGAAAACTACATACACAAAAGGGAAGAGTTAATAATTTGTAAATATATTCTCAGTTGCAAACAGTATCTCAAGTTTAAAAAAGCTTAATAAATATTTTATCTATCTATTTTAGAGTGTCTGTCTGAGAGTCCATCTGTTAGTCTATTTGTTCAAGAACTCCTCCTAAACCATAAGAGCTTGCTTCAGGGAGTAGCCGAGTTCGTCTGTACAGGATAAACTTAAAAAACAAGAAATGGTCTGGTAGCACTTTATTGATTAACAAAACATGTAGATGGTATTATGAGCTTTCGTGGGCAGAGCCCACTTCTTCAGATGACTGTAGTTTGGACAACCAAATTTGGAATGCAGCTTCCTCTTACCCTAATTTAAACAAAGATCAGTGTTTGGTTCTGCCTGGAAAATGGGAAGTGCCAGGAATTAGACTGTTTTCGATAGCATGGAAAGGGTGTTTTCGATAGCATGGAAAGGGAGGGGCAGAGAGGAGGGATGTGATACTGATAGTAGCCACTAGATCAGGTTGGAGGGGGCTGCTGGAGGGGGAGACATCCCACAGAGCGTGGTACCCTTAGAGAGCCTGCAGGGAGTGCAGCTGGAAGGGGGCAGCCCACATAGCCTGGCCCCTCCCCCAGACAGACTGCAGGCCATGAGGGAGGGGCTGCTGGAATCTGGGGAGCAGCCCCCAGAACCTGCCCCCACACAGACTGCAAGCCTCATGGGGGCCACTGGAGGCCAGAGTCAGACCCCAGAACATAGGCCCCCGCCAGGCAGTCTGCAAGCTGCAGGGAGGAGCCCCTGAAAACTGGGGGCAGCCCATGGATGTTGACCAGCTCTCCAGATCACTCCCCCAAACAGGGCTGCAGAATGAAGGGGGCCACAGAAAGCCTGGAGTAGCCTCCAAAGCACCGTTCCTCGCTAGACCAGCTGCAGGGCGGGGGACGCAGTTGTCCTAATCAAGGCCCCCTTTGGAGCAGCTGCAGGCCGGGGGCCAGAAGCAGGCCTGGGGCTGCCCCCTCAACAGGCTACAGGTTGGGGGGGAGCAGCTGCAGGCTGGGGCCAGCCTGAAGAGCCCCAAGCCCCTCCCAACAAGCGTGCAGACCTGGATCCTCCCTCTCCTCCTGGAAGAAGCCACCCTCAGATGAGTGCAGTCCCAGACCCTTGGAAGGAGCGGCTGGCCAGGGAGCACTTCTATGGTTTCTTGGGAGCAGCTGCTGCCAGAGAAGCATCATTCTTGCCACCATGTATGGCCCCGGTAAGCCCGCTCCTCACCTTCCTACCTCCTGCCCTGAATCCTTCACCTCCCACCTGCCTTGATTTCTGCACCCCCCCCCTTCCTTCCCCAGGCTCCCTCTACCTCCTTTGCCCTTCCCTGAGGCCACTGTCCCCTCTCTCGAGCCGCCCCATACCGCCCAACCCTCTGCCCTAAGCCACCCAATCACTGAAATAAAGCATGTACATTTTTCATTTATTTTCCAAAAAACAAAAAAAAATTACTTCAGTTAAAGACCTGAGCAATGCTGGGCACATCTGCTAATAGTTTATATTTTAAATGTTTCACTTCTGCTATAACTTCACCGTATCCACAGTATCTTCTGTGATAATTCTGATTTACTTACTATATTATATTTAGTAACACTAACTACTGTTATTTCAAAGTAAACTTTAATTTTACAGGAAAACATTTTAATTATAATATTTTAATACTGAATTTTGACTTTAAATATCCCAGTAAATAACAATTTTAATAAGCAACAAGGTGACAAATTAATGTAGCTAATTAGTTTCAGCAGAGCTACCTTTTGAAGTATTGTGGGTATATACTTATGCAATTTCTGGTAAGCATAATTTCATTAAAATTCTGCTTTCAAACACTGTCTCAAAATTATTCAAGAGAAAAATACTAACATGCTTATTATAAAAGTTTTAACAGAACTCTTAAAATGTTCGTATTTCAAGTTTTTTTCCACAGACTATAATCAGTTATTGTTTGTTACTGTGATTAGAATAAATAGGTTGTTTGTGCTATGGGAACATGTAATGTTTATATGGTTGTTAGACAAAAGGACAGAAGCCCAGAAAATGGTTCCATATATGACACTGATGACCTTGCCAAGTCACTGGATGCCTGGGGCCTAAAAGATGTTATGTGTTAGGCGAAGTTTTCCAGAAGAAGCCTCTTGCTGGCATCTACAAAATGGTTGGGCCAAATACTTAACTGGTGTAAACTGTCAACTGAAGCAAGAAGAAAGAATTATGACAATTTTCATGAGCTGAGGATACGGCCCTGTGTGCACACAGGGAAATTGATACAGTATTTGCACATACCAGTACCCATTTGCACGTTCAAAAGGCCAAATGGCAATACCCTTGTTGATATTGAATAACTCATTATATCACAAGTGGTTCCTATTGGTTTCAATAGAACTACCTATTGAGAACAATACCATTCAGTGTCTGTAAGTATAACCTGTCCCCTCCCACCCCCCCCCACCCCGCTCACATGCACATTTAACTCAGATGTATAGACAAACACAGATTTTTTCTGTCCAAATGTAGGCACACATATGTATGCAACTCAGCCTATACTTTCAACATTTTTCTAATTAGGTTCCTGTATTTATGGTTTCTCATTGTACCATGCAACAGACTCTATTACAGGCAGTCCCCGGGTTACGTACAAGATAGGGACTGTAGGTTTGTTCTTAAGTTGAATTTGTATGTAAGTCGGAACTGGTACAAATTGTAGGGGAAGCTCTAGCCAAACATTTCTCCAGAGATCAGTTTTATTCTCCCACACCTCACTTCCCTCAGTCCTTTATTCTCAAGCTGAGGTGTCTGCTGAGAAAAGCTGCTCCGCGTACGCTAGCTTCGCGTCTCCCTGGTCTGCTGGGGGGAAGCAGCTAGTGCGGGGTTGCCTCACCCCGTTTGTAAGTAGGGATCCGATTGAAGTCGGATCCATGTAACCCGGAGACTGCCTGTACTTATATAAAAAAAATAAAAAAAAAAGCTACACTACAGTCCTCCTTAAAAATGAAAGACTATTAAAGCTTAGATATCAATAGCTGTGCACTATTGTTCTATAGTCTCTTTTACATTCCTTTACTTTCCGGTCTTTTTAGAGCACTTGTGCAGAACAATCATCAAAAATGTAGAGCTTCGAACAATGATTCAGCAGTCTGCTGCAGTGAATTACACTTTGATTTTCTATCAAAATACAAAATTATCACATGAAGTAGGAATAACTGTCACTGTTCCACAACAGGGACTTTAAGTTTTAAATAGTGTAGCAATAATTTTACATTTCTTCATAAAGTCAGAACTTATAACTTCAATAAGTTCCAAAGGTACTTAGTTATTAGGAGGAAAAAAAAAACCTTATTTATGGTCAGATTCACTGGCACACTCTCGTAACACAAAGAAGCTGCACATTTGGTTTATTCCTGCTTTGCAACACAAACAGTTACAGCACACAAGTAATCCTCTGGAACAGTTTTAACATATTGGCAGGATGGTCCGTGTTTTAAATGAAAAAGACCTATCTAGCCCTTCTTCTCAATGATAATTTGGTAGGCCCAATAGCTCAGTTTTATCCTTAATTCAGGTAACTTTTGTTAAAAAATGTAAGGCTACCTACCTGTTCTCAACCCATTTGCCTATTCCTGTTTTAGTGCCTTTTTTTTATCAACAAATCAAATAATCCAAACACCTTTCTTTTCCTCCTTAAAAATCTAATACAAATATATTAGATCAGGAAAACATGATACATGTAACGACCATTTGCTATGTTGTGTCTGTCTAGTACTGTATTGCTTTATTGCCTCTATTCTTAGTTTTTTAAAGCCCAGTTCTACAAAGACTCTAGAATTACTGCTGCCTTTAATTTAGCACATACCTATGTCTTCACAACATAGGCTATGTCTACACTACAAAGATAAATCAGAAAAAGAAATACATTTTGAAGTACACAAATTGCGCATCATCTTCCAATTTACTTCTGAAAGAGGCCAAATTTCAGAAAAAAACCCTCTTCTGGAATATCCCTTCTACCTCATAAAACAAGGTTTACAGGGATGCCGAAAAAACACATCCACTTTTCTGACATTTTTTTCGAAAAAGCGGACATGTTCCTAGACATAGCCTTCTTGACCTTTGACTATATCACTGGGGCATGGATTTCATTTTAGCTTGACATACTATAGCACATGAAGTCCTACAGTACCTAACAACAGTAACACCTCTCTTTTTCTCTTTCATTAACGTTTGTGAAGAAGTCTGAAGATGAAAAGCAATATGCAACTCTAAAGAATGAGTATTCTCAGCAAACAGTCAGTAGCTTTTCCTTTCCTTACGCTGTTTTATTTTGTATAGTATGACAAGTCTAGCAAATGTAAAGATTTACTTACTTTTGATTCATAATCTCACCGCTATTATTTCTTTACCGAATTGTGACATTTGTTTATTTTATATAAGTTATTAGCATAATCCTCTCCTACTGTATGATGATGTACAACCAAATATCTATAGCTTTTAAAAACACATTAGCAAATAACTCATGCACTGCATATCTATCTTTTGTAATGGGTAGTAAATTGCTCGTACATACTAGATTCTAGTGTGTTACTGTGGCTGTTTCATACTGTCCTATCACTGAAATCAGGTTGTATCGCTGACACCACTGCCTTTGCGAGGATCACCCCATTGTACAAGGATTCTTTTGGCACAGAGTTAACCAGGGGGGCCAACAGCCATGTCAGGCCCCTTGGAAAGTGGAGAGAGCCAGCTCCATGCTTCTGGAAGGGGCAGAGCCTCAGGCGGAAAGGCTGGAGCTGAGAGCAGCCAGCTGTCAGTGCCACCCAGACTGCACCCCTTCCCAACCCTTAGAGCCGCCCCAAGCATACAGTGCAGCATACTGGCAGTGATTTAAAGTGCCTGGGGCTCCGGTCACTGCTGCTGTCACTACTGTGACAGTGACAGCTGGGAACCCCAGGTCTTTTGGAATCACTGGACATGGGCATTTACCCTCTTTTCCTGCTCTCTCCCTGGCAGCAGGCCTGAAGTTCACACATTTTTACACATTCACCTTGTTTTTCTGTGTGGTTTTTTTTAACTAGAAAACAGAATACAGTCTCTGCCCTTGACCCTTAAATAGCCTCAGGCAGTAATTTCAACTGGATCTCAATCTCAAACATTCATGGCCTTAGGTAAAGTACAAGATTAATGGCTTCAGTGAAGTGAGTTAAATGAAAGGCCATTGCTGGTGTGTTAAAGAGGTGGCAAATAAATATGCATAAGTAAAGACCACTGAGGATGTGGAACAGAGAACAGAAGAGTGTTCATACTGTGACAGCTTGACAATATCTGGAATGAAATTTATTGAAATAAAACTAATTCAATAAAGTTTAACTTAACACATTTAGAGTTCATTGTATTGAAAATGCAATTGCATCTTACTGTGAAATTGTTTTAATTTTCATAGGAAGGATAAACAGGAGAATGCGGGGAGAGGACAAGGACATAATTGGACAAATTCACTCAGATTTTAGCATCTCCAGGGAAGCAAGACCCCTGGAAAGGTGAGTATACACTAATTCAAATTGAATTCCTTAGTCACCAACAGACAAAAAAAGGGTATTTGGATAAATAGCCTGGTTTTAAACTGGCCCCTTGCTTTCTTCCCATTCCAGAAAATGGACAGGACCCCTCATCAACAGAGGCCATTAAAAGCAGTGTTGTCAATATCAAACTAATAAATTGCAATACATGTCAGACATATTTTCTTTTCTCATTTTGAACTACACTGATTCCAAATTGTGGAGTAACTATAACCAAGATGCTCTTTTTTCTCTATGTTGAAAATTCTAAAATAATCTTCTTGGATAGGGGAATCTACCGAGATCTCCCAAAAACCTTTCTTTGACAAGGCATAGTATCATAGATGAATATCAAGATTCATATTGTAAATACAATGCTGTGTATATAAAGACAAAGACTAAATTTTCAACAGTAACTAGTCATTTTGGGTGTCATAATTCTTGGGCATCCAACTTGGAACTCCTAAAAAGGATGTCACCCTGGCTTTCAGCATATTGGTACTGAAACAGTCTCTGAAAATCTGACACTTCCTGCTTTGTGAGTGCCTAAAGTTGACCACCCTAAAAAAAAAATCGAAGTTACTAGTCACTTTTGAAAATATAAGCCACAAATGTGTATATAATAAATAATGTATCTTCAAGACTGGAAATCAATTATATGTAAATGTCTCCCATTACCTGTCTATCAGATAGATTGGAAACAGTTCTATGAGATGAAGGAATGAAAGTTGTTGCCTACACTAAAGTACAATGGAGCCAAAGGACTCAGTTATAAATTATGGAATCCTGTTCTAGCTGCAACATTTTGCAGTTCACACTAGTATAAAGCCTTTTTAATATGGTTTTGTTTGTACGTATAAACAAATTGGTCCAGAGAACTGTGTTAGTATTGGGTTCTACCATACAGTTAAAACTGGATTATAGACTGGGAATCACTGCATAATGGGAAATTAAACAACAACAATGTATGCTAAGTTGGGGGCAATTAAACAAATCAGAACAGGAGA